TCTGTGTAGCCCTGACTGTCCTGGAACTGGCTCTGTAGACCAAGCTGGCCTCAAACTAGGAGATCCACCTGGTTCTGCCTCCCAAAGCTGGGACTAAAGTGTGCACCTCCATCACCTGGCCATCATTAGGACATTATTATTATTTCAGGTGCATGGGTATTTAGCCTAAGTTTGTGTACCACATTGTATAGTACTCGAGGAGTCCATAAGAGGGCACTGGATTCCACTGGAACTAGAGTTACAGATGGTTGTTAGCCACCATGTGGATACCTGCTAGGGCGGTATTCTTAATTGCTGAACCATTCCAACAGCCCCATCTTGCCCTCTCTTATTCCCCAACCCTAGTACCCTTCAAATTCCCAAACAGTACCCCTTCGACTTTTGTGTCTTATCCACAGAGTTGGGGCAGGGTTTTTCATTTTATTAACGAACTCAGCCAGGGAGATATGAGGGTCCAATCCCATGAGTGTCTCCAGTGAGAAGAAAGCCGTGGCCTAACTCTAGGAATTAATAAGGTGGCCACCTTGATATGCTTCCCCAGAAGTATGTGAGATTAGACAGGAAAGAGAAAGTGTAGCTCTTGCCTAGGGAAGATATGTGTGTAGGTTTTTCCACTGGAAAATGGGTGCCTGGCAAGAAAAAAACATGAAGTATAATTCCCCAGTAATAGTATCTGCTACCAAGCTTGGCTAATCCTTACACCCCATCTTTTCCCTCAGATCCTGGTCATGAGTCACCCCATAGTATCCAAGAAGAAAACACGATAGGTTCTGGACCTATGGCCCAGAATCAACCTTTCAAGGATAGCCAACTCCTTGGCCCGTTGCTTCAAGATGACAGCATGGATAAGGAATTCCTGCCACAGACACCACCTGAACCACAGGGCAACTCAGCTGCCCAGAAGAGCACAAAGAGCAATGAAGCCAGTTTATTAACTCCCAGAAGGACCCAGGTGCAAACCTGCCCAGCCAAGAACTTACATGTCCCCAGCAATGAATGCCTATCTACAGTAAAGATCTCGGAGCCCAGAACCCAGCTCCCTAACTTGCCTGTACTGCTCTGCAGCCCTCCTGACCCAGAAGAAAGCTCCTCAAAGCAGGGGCGCCGATACCAGTGTGGGGAGTGTGGCAAGGCATTCCTGCAGCTATGCCACCTCAAGAAACATGCATTTGTTCACAAAGACCACAAGCCCTTCCTGTGCACTGAGTGTGGCAAGAGTTACAGCTCAGAAGAAAGCTTCAAAGCCCACATGCTGGGCCATCGAGGGGTGAGGCCCTTCCCTTGTTCACAGTGTGACAAGGCTTATGGTACCCGCAGAGACCTCAAAGAGCATCAGGTGGTCCATTCGGGTGCCCGGCCCTTTGTGTGTGAGCAGTGTGGCAAAGCCTTTGCTCGCCGACCTTCCTTGCGGCTACACCGGAAGACACACCAGATGCCAGATGCCCCTTCCCCATGCCTATGCCCATGCCCAGTATGTGGGCGGCTCCTGGCCACCCAGGGTTCACTGCAGAACCACATGAGACTTCACACTGGAGAAAAGCCATTCCTGTGCCCACACTGTGGGCGAGCATTCCGCCAGCGGGGCAACCTCCGAGGACACTTGAGGCTGCACACAGGGGAGCGTCCTTATCAATGCCCACACTGTGCCAGTACTTTCCCCCAGCTTCCAGAGCTGCGGCGTCATCTCATTTCCCACACTGGTGAGGCCTACCTGTGCCCTGTGTGTGGGAAGGCCCTCCGAGACCCACATACACTTCGTGCTCATGAGCGCCTGCACTCGGGGGAGAGGCCCTTTCTGTGCCTCCAATGTGGCCGAGCTTACACACTGGCTACCAAGCTGCGCCGTCACCTCAAGTCCCACATGACAGACAAGCCATACCGATGCCCTGTCTGTGGCATGGGCTATGGCTTCCCTCAAAGCCTCAAGCGGCACCAGCTCAGTCACCAGCATGGGGTTTCCTCCAGCCCTTCTCTGCCTCCTGCTGCCTCTGAGCCCACCATGGTGCTCCTACAAAGTGAGCCAAAATTGCTGGACACATGCAGCCAGCAGGAAGTGCCCTCAGACGGGGGTATTGTGGAGGTCACCATCTCTGAGAACCAGGGAAAGTGCTTTGTGGTACCTGAGGAGCCCACCCCTAGACCAAACCTGGTGCTGATCCATAAGGATATGGGCTTTAATGGCTGGGCTGAGGTGGTACAGGTAGAAGCAGGCACCTGACACCTTCACTGAGTCCACTCCCACCCCTACAGGAGCTCTCCATAAAGACTTCTAGCAGATTATGTCTGTATGTCATTCTCTTTGGGTCTCCTGATAGGTGCAGGAACCAATTTGATTGGCTCTTACGGTTGGGAAAGCTTGGCTGTCCATCCATCCATCATATGTCCTCTGTAGTTCAGGTTTTAGTTAATTTTGAGTGCTTTTCACAGCATCTAAAGCAGTAGTTCTCAACCTGTGGGTCGTGACCCCTTTGAGCATAGAACAACCCCTTTCACAGCCAAGACTTAGAAAACATACTTAGAAAAATTACAATTCATAACTAGCAAATTTACAGTTACGAAGTAGCAACGAAAATTTATGGTTGGGGCTCACCACAACACATTAAATGGTTGAAATGCTAGGAAGGTTGAGAACCACTGGTCTAAAGGTTGTGAAAGCTGAATAACGTGGGTAATGGGTTGGGTGGGTTTGTGTGTATCCATAGGCTTGGCCTACAGGGAAGATAAGAGGAGTAACATGGTTTGCATTGGCTGTGAGCCTTGACAATGTGAGATTTTGGAGATGGAACAAACAGGTAGCTGGGTGTAGTACACAGTTTGAATCCTAGCACTCAAGTAAGGCGGAAGGATTGCTGCAAGGTTGAGGCCTTCGTGGACTTCATAAAGGGACTTGTCTCAGAGGGAGTGGGGGAAGAGGTAATGGCCTTTCCAGTTTGTGATTTGATGAGCTCTGGATGTGTCAGAAATTACTGGCTGGGCATAGTAGCTCATACCTGACATTTCTGTCCTTGGAAGCACAAGCTGGAGACTCACCTGGCCCCACTTTAGGAAGAAGACGCATTAGATAGGAGTTCAGAGGGACATGTTAATTGATGGGTGATGTGGTCCGGTACCACCCAGGGCCTCCTCAGGGATGACAAGAGCACACCTTGATGGAAGGCCAGGCTTCCTGTGAGCCTAACCATGTTGTAAGTAGTATCTTTAAAAAAAACAAAAAAAACAAAGGAGTAAAGTGCTTTAAATATTCTGCCCACAGCCACAAAGCTCCCTATAGGCAGAGTTTAAAGTCTACCTGTTCTGCTTTATGCTGCTGGCAGGCTCCCAGTATCAATACTATACTGTCTTGGTACACCCTGATTTGGGAGATGAGTGGATATTTAAGAGGTGAGATGGGGGGACTGCAGGATGGGGATGAAGCAGGGATGGAGATGTAATTCCAAAGGTGATCAGGAGACATCTCTAGTAAAGTGGCAAGCAGAGTCAAGAGCAGTAGGTAACGGGAAGAAGAGCTAGGTGCTAGGCAAAGGAAAGAGGACAAAACCCAGGGTTGCCACCCAAGAACAAGGTGCAGAGGGACCATGATGGACCAGAAGTGGTTATTGTGCGTTATTTGTACAATTGCTGATTGGTTTAGTAAGGAACTGAATGGCCACTAGCTAGGCCAGGGATATAGGTAGGACTTCTGGGCAGAGAGAGAGGAAATAGGAGATAAATATAGGTCTTCAGGAGACTCCGAGACCTGGAACAACTGGGACACACAGATTGGGGATAATGGTAAAAAGCCATGAGGCAAAATATAATTAATAGGAACAGGTTAACTTACAAGTACTAGTTAAGAACAAAGCTAAGCTACAGGCTGAGCTTTCATAATAAGTCTTGCTGGGTGGTGATGGCACATGCCTTTAATTCCAGCACTTGGGAGGCAGAGGCAGGCGGATCTCTAGTTTGAGACCAGCCTGGTAGACAGATAAAGCTACACAGAGAAAGGCTCTAAAAGCTACACGGAGAAACCCTGTCTCAAAAAAAAGAAAAAAAAAGAAAAAGTCTCCGTGTCATTTGGGAGCTGGCTGGAGGGCTAGCTATAGATGGTGAAGCCAGAGGTGTAGGCAGGAGTGAGTAAATCTTGGGTGGATATGTTCTCTGGGAGGCACAAGTAATGGAATTCGGAGACAGTTACTGAAGGAACAGTTATGAGTTAGGTTTCCTGACACTCAACCCACATTTCCCACTTGTGAGGTAGGCTTTGAGAGTTATGAGAAACAAGCAGTTGGGGAAAGGTGCCAGGTCACTTAGCAAATAGGCAGCCTTGGAAGCTATGAGGGCAATGAGGAGGCCTAGAAATGGCCATGGTCATGAGGTCAGTCAATATCAGAGCCAGGACTGACTGCAGGCTTCTGATGCCCGGCCTAGTGCTCCTGCAGCTCACACGAGCGGCAATGTCCTTTCTTGGACATCAAGGACACCCTTGAGACAGGGTGTCAGTGCCTGGCTGGTGCCTGGGACTCACTATAGTCCAGGTTAGCCTTGAATTTAAAACAATCTTCTTGCCTTAGCTACCCTTCACCAGGTGTTCAGATTGTAGTTATAAGCCACACAGCTGTCAAGTGATTCTTAATAATTTGGTGTATAGAACCACACACAAGCTGGGTGGTGTTGGTGCACGCCTCTAATCCAACACTTGGGAGGCAAAGGCAGACAGATCTGAGTTCAAGGCCAGCCTGGTCTACAGAGTGAGTTCTAGGACATCCAAGGCTACGAAGAGAAACCCTGTCCTGAAACCCACATCCCTACACACAACCAACCATGACTGGAAAAAAAAATTAGAAATCAGTGAAATGATTCCCAGTGATACTCTGCTATACTAAGACTGGTACCTAGCTCTGCTATACTCATAGACTGACCCTAGCTCTGCTGTACTCATAGACTGGTACCTAGCTCAATTGTCATCAGAGAGTCTTCATTGGTATCTGATGGAAACAGATACAGAAAGCCAAAATTAGGCATAGCTCAGGGAATCCTGAAGAAGAGGGGGAGGAAAGATTATAGGAGCCATAGTGGCCAAGGACACCACAAGAAAACCCACAGAATCAACGAACCTGGGCTCAAAGGGCTCACAGAGACTGAACTGACAACCAGGAGACTCCATGAGACTGACTAGGCCCTCTGCATATATGTTACCGTAGTGAGTCTTTCTCTGTCCCACCAGCCAGCTCCCAGATCATGACATAAAGACTTACTAATTATGGAAGCTCGGCCAATAGCTTAGGCTTGTCCCATTAGCTCTGAAGGGTCAATAGCTAGTCAGGATTTCCAGGCACAGAGGACCCGACTCCTTCTTCCCAGCATCCTCTGTGCCTGGAAATCCTGACTAGCTATTGACCCTTCAGCTTTTTATTAAACCAGAGTGATAGATCTTCACAGTGTACATAAAGATTATTCCACAACATGTTATAGTTGTGGAGCTTGGTCTTCTTGTGGAACTCCTAACAGTGGAAGCAGGGGCTGTTTCTGATTCTTGTGTGGGCTTTTGGGACCCTTATCCTCATACTGGGTTGCCTCATCCAGCCTTCAACTTGACATGCCATGTTTGGTTGATATCCCTGAGAGGCCTGCTCTTCTCTGAATAGAAGTGGGGGGAGGAGTGAGTGGGGGAGGCAAAGGGGAGGGGGAAGGGGGAATGAGAGGAGGGAAACAGTGGTTGGGTTGTAATAATAAAAATAACTTGGTGTATACTGTGTGTACTGAGATGGAATGCTTCTTGTCATAGGACAGATTCTCTGAAAACAGTGTTGAACACCTTTTTATAGAGTCAAGCAATGGAACCCCAAATCAGAAAGTGGGGCTGAAGCTGGATATTGTGACTTGCCCCTATAACCTCAGCACTTGGGAGTCTAAGGCAAAAGAATTAAGAGTTTAATCCTTGGGCTGGAGAGATGGCTCAGAGGTTAAGAGCACTGGCTGCTCTTCCAGAGGTCCTGAGTTCAATTCCCAGCAACCACATGGCACCTCACAACCATCTATAGTGAGATCTGGTGCCCTCTTCTGGTGTGTAGGAATATATGCAGGCAAAAGGCTGTATACATAATAAATAAATCTTTTGTTGTTGTTTTTGTTTTTCAAGACAGGGTTTCTCTGTGTAGCTTTGGAGATAAATAAATCTTTAAAAAAATTGCCTAGCATAAAATACTAAATGTCAACTTCTGTTTATAAAAAAAAAAAGAGTTTAATCCTCAATTGACCCACATGCTCAAAAAGGGGGGAATTCCACAACATGCTTAAAAATGCTTTTCTGGCCAGAAAAGAGCCTGGTCATGAGACAGACGGTGTGGGGCTCTGTGCTTCTTTTTTTCTCTTTTATTATTATTATTTGGGGGAAAGGTTTGCACATGCAGCTGTATGCCTGTGAAAGAAGAGGACACCTTCAGGAGTAAGCTCTCCTTCCACCTTTATGAGGGCTCTGGGAATCAAACAGGTGTTTTCACGTGCAGAACCGTCTTGCCAGCCCTTTAAAAGTTTTTTGTTGAGATTTTAAAATTTTTTTTTTACTTTTATCTGCATTTATTTTATGCTGAATTTATTCCCGTGCCATAAGTTTTTTGTTTCTTCAGTTTCTCCTGGGATATCTTTTTCTTCTGTGCAACCTCCTCTTCTGGCTTCGGAACAATCTGTTCCTTTTCCCGTGAGGATCATTTCGATGTGGCAGCGGGAGATCATGTATGGGTTAATCCGGCCGTGAGCCCTGTAAGTTCGGCGACGCATCTTAGGTGCTTTGTTCAGCTGGATGTGTTCGATGACCAGAGAATCTACATCTAGACCCTTAAGCTCAGCATTACTCTCTGCATTTTTAAGCATGTGCAGCAAAAATTCAGCACTCTTTATCGGGCACCGACCCTGTGTCGAGCCCCACTGTTTGGCCTGGGCGCACCTGCCGACTCCACCATTGTACAACTGGAATGGCACACATTGCTTCTTCAATGTGACATCTTTCAGGTATTTGGTGGCTTTTCGGATATGCATACCCTTGATGGCCTAGGCAGTTTCACGGGTATTCTTAAAGTGAACCCGGAGATTTGAACCTCTTGACTTGCATGATTTTGTAGGTTTTTCTGGGTCGAAAGAGTAGCGAACCATCTTCACAGGTTACCTCAGGTCGCTTACAGGAAGAGTAAGTGCTTGTTTAGATTTTGTTGTTGTTGTTGTTGTTGTTTAGATTTTTTTATGTGTGTGTTTTATCTGCAAATATGTGTGTGTAGTTGGTATGTGTCTTATGTGCCCATAGAGGTCAGAAGAGAGTGTCAGAGCCCCTGAACAGGTGGTTGTGAGATGGGTGCTGGGAACTGAACCAAGATCTTCTGCAAGAACAACAAATGGGACCAGGAGGTGTTGACCCACACCTTTAATCCCAGCAGTCGGGAGGCAGAGACAAGTGGATCTCTGTGAGTTCTAGGACAGCCTGGTCTACAGAGTGAGTTCCAGGACAGCCAGGGCAGTTCACAGAGAAACCCTGTCTAAAGCAACAAAACAAAACAAAACCATGTCTTCAAGAATACTCATAGGGGCCCAGTGAGATGACAAGAGGTTGGAAGCACTTGCCATGCAAGCTTGACCTGAGTATGATCCCTGGAACACTCAGGTGGAAAGAGAGTTGAGTCTCAGAAGTTAACCTCTGACTTTCACATGCACACTATGGCATGTGCCCATATGTTTTCACACACTTACACAAACACAATCAAATCAATAAAATTACAAAAAAAAAAACCCACTACACACAGTCCCCCAGACTATAAGCTCATCAAATGCTCATTAATATGCAAATTATAAAATAAAGCTAGGTGCGGTGGCACATGATTGCCTTGGGTTCAAGGTCAGCTCCACCTACAGAAGGGACAGATAAGTAAAATATGCAATATCCATGCAAAGGGCCAGGCCATGGTGGTTCATGCCTTTAATCCCAGCACTCAGGAGGCAGAGGCAGGCAGATCTCCTGAGTTCAGACCAGCCTGGTCTACAAGAGAGTTCCAGGACAGCCTCCAAAGCCACAGTGGAAACCCTGCCTCAATTCCCTACCCCCCAAAAAAAAATCCATGCAAAGAACTGCACATGTGATGAGCACACCATGGATGGATCCACAGAACCGTGTGTGAGCTAGAGGAGACTGACACAAGGTGTTCAAAGATAGACAAAGCTGGTGTGTGTCAGGGTGGTGGTCACTAGAGAGGGCAGCTGCAGGCTGACAACAAAGAACTTTGGGGTCTGGTCCGATGGGGTGCACATGGAATATAGAATTAAATGATTATGATTTGTAAACATGATGCAATCCTTATTTTAAAAGGCATACATGATATAGAATTATGCATTTGTTGATGGGGAAAGGGCCATCAGAATGACTCAACAGGTAAAGGGACTACTATTGTCAAACTTTACCTCCTGAGTTCAATCCCTGAGACTCACAGGTGGAAGGAGAGAACTGCCCTCCACATGTGTGCACTGGGGAATGTGCACACACAAATAAATATACATAATTTAATTCTTTAAAAAGAGGCATATGTTTGTTTTGTTGTTTGTTTGAGATAGGGTCTCTCGATGCAGTTCTGACTGTCCTGGAGCTTTCGATGTAGACTGGGTTGGCCTCAAAATCACAGAGATCCTCTTGCTTCTGCCTCCCCAGTGCATGGATTAAAGGCATGCAACACACTCAAATGCGTAAGTTTTTGAAAGTTATTTTTTTCTAGCTGGGCAGCAATGGTCCCACACATCTTTAATCCCAGCACTCTGAAGGCAGAAACAGGTGTATCTCTGTGAGTTCCAGGCAACCCTGGTCTATGATTGAGTTCCAGGAAGGCCACATCTGTTGACACAGAGAAACCTGTCTCGGAAAAAAAAAAAAAAAATTGTGGCTGGAGAGATGGCTCAGTGGTGAAGAGCACATACTACTGCTCTTTCAGAGGACCTAAGTTTAACTGCCAGCGCCCACGTTGGGTGGCTCATAGCTGCCTGTAACTCCTGGGGATTGGCCGGGTACCAGCCCTCACATGCATATACCCACACACACATGCACTGTATATGTATGAAAATACACAGAAGTGAGCCACTCAGGAATTAAGCTGATTGTGGAAGACCCAGTTCCCAGTTCTCTGCTAACCATGTTTCTCTCCAGACTGTACATGACCCCAAACAGCTAGCCCTGGTGAAGTCAAGGGTCCCTTAATTCCCGGGTGTACGTGCTCTTTGTCCCTCTGTTCTATTTAGACCCAGGACTAATATTTACATTGTAAACAGGAAATGGGGGAGGGTGAGAGGCAGGTCCAGAGCTGTTGTGTAGAATTGGAAACCTCTGAGGCTGGCCCAGTGCAGACAGGTTGGGAGGGAAGGGCTGTGTCAGGAGACCTGGAGTTGTGGGCCGGAGACAGAAGAAGACAGCCTACATTCACAGCACCTGACAGGATAGCACCCTTAGAGGGAAGAAAGAGGAATCACCCCTGGCTGAGAGCTACCTGCTCTCTCTCGTGGTGGTTACCCCCGTGCACCTGGACATATCCATCTCTATTCCTTATGTCTGCACGAATCGGCTAGTCAGTAGGTGCTCTGCACTGACAGCCTCCCGTAGTTCTCATGGCAAAGTGTTGTGCCCAGTGCACAGATGAGGGGACTGTGGTGCTGGTGTGTGGAAATGGAGAGTTCTGGTACCATCCCTGTTGGCTGGGACTAGCAGGATATCTGGAAGGATTCATTGATCCACGTTCACCCACTTAATAATGGTGGAGGGGGTTGGATGATGGTCTTTTCAATACGATTTTCTCCCTAAGAACATCCATCCCTGGTCCCGGAGAACCTGTCCTCTGGGATGGCAGGGGGTGGACCTTAGAACTATCTAACCATTTGTCCCCAAGGCCCTGACCCCCTGACCTCTCCCTTGCCACTGATTTCTTCACGTTGGTTCAACATTAACTCAGAGAGAGTCGGGACAATCCCTCAGATTCCAGGAGCTGACACACTATGTTGCACGTCCGAGGCCTGGGGCTAACTGGCTGCCTGATTCTGGCTGTCCTGGTCAGCCTGGTACACAGCCAGCATGGTAAGGGGCCCTTGGAGGCCTGGGCAAGATGGAGGATGTGGAATAGGCCTGTGGGTTGGGGTTTCCTGGCTAAGACCAGTGAACACAGAACAGTCAGTCCCCAGGTGGACCTCAGACCAGAGTGCCTAGCTTAGAGGAGTCAGGTGCATGGGGCAGGAAGGGGTGCCATTCCAGAAGAGCGAGTGGGCTGGAGCAACCAATGAAAGGCCAACTCACAGTGACCTTCTGGGTACTTCTGCTTCCCCACGTCCCCTCTTGGAAGCCAGCTGGCCAGGCCAGGCTTGCTTCTTACCCTTTAATGGCTAAGATAGCCAGGCTTTCCAGAGACGATTTCCCATGCCCCACCCCCACCCCCACCCCCATCCCCACTGCAGTGTTCCTGGCCCCTCAGCAAGCCCTGTCGCTGCTCCAGCGGGTCCGGAGAGCCAATAGTGGCTTACTGGAGGAGCTAAGAAAGGGCAACCTGGAGCGGGAGTGCGTGGAGGAACAGTGCAGCTATGAGGAGGCCTTCGAGGCCCTGGAGTCTTCCAGTGCCACGGTGAGCCCCACACTGGCTGCTGGGAGGAAGGGCGGGTGGGCGAGGAAAAGGCCCGGACTCCCTTAGCAGAGGAATGCAGGGACGATGGGTGACACGAGCAGGAGACATCTGGCTCTTCCCTGCTCAGAGTTTCACTTCCATTCTGACCCCCATCTCATCCAGGTGCAAGATGGGTGCCTAAAGTCTGTTTTGGAAACTGTAGGCCTGGGCTGTCACAGTGAGGCTCTTGACATCAGGGGACTCTTTAGCTTCAGCAGTCGGCTATACTGGGGCTGGCTGGATTGTCTAGTGCTTGCTTAAGCCCTTCTGACCTTTCTGTGTTCCCTTGTGCTGTACACCCTGGCCCTGGGCCTCTGGTGCCGCCCATTCCCTGGGCGGGAGTGGGGGGGGGGCCTCTTCTCCTATCTTCTCCAGTCTGGAGGAGACCTGTTCATTCGTGTGTGCTGGGGGACTCTCTCTCTCTCACATTCTCTCCTTTTGGAAGCTAAAATGAGGGATTAAAGTCAGGCTGCGGTGGTAAGGGAAGGACATACTGCCTACTAACCGAAACAGAGCTCTACCCTGCTGGAGTCTCACCCACAGCCCTTGCTTTGCAGGAGGTGTTCTGGGCCAAGTACAGAGGTGAGTGGCCAACAGGGTTTGCCCAGGGAAGAAAGGCTGGGGGACTCAAGCCAGAGACTGTCCTCTCCTACAGAATTTTCTGCTGTGTAACACACGCAGGCATCCATTCTCTCTCCTCTCTCCCTCCCATCTGTTATCCCTGCTTCCATCATCTCCTCACCTGTGCCCCAGCCACACCAAAGGTGTCTCTGCTTTTTTTCCAGTCTGTGATTCAGTGAGGAAACATCGGGATACTTTCATGAACTGCATGGAAGGTGAGGGGCAGACTTTGTTGGGTGGATGGTGGGGAAGCCTGGGAGAATAGGAAAACTGATGAGCGGTTAGGAGCCGCGGCCGAAGTGGCATCTCTGGTGCCTGAGGTTGCGTCTTTGTTCTGTGGTCAAGGATGTCTTTGCATGTGGCCTTGTGTCTGGCAGTCTGGCCAGACGGTTGGAGGAATGGATGGGTAATTAATTAGTCTTGGGGGCTTTGCTCTTCATGCCTGACTAGGCCCCTGTCCACCCTGTGTCAGAGCTCTGACTGGTTAATTCATTCTCCAAAACGTTTTGCTTTGTTTTTAAGACAGGGACTCCTGTAGCCCATCGTGGCTTTGAACTTGCTAGATGTTGAGGATGACCCTGAACCGCTGATCCTCCTCCTTCCTCCTCCCCGGTGCTGGGGTTGCAGGCATGTGTCACCATGGCCAGCTTTCATTCTCCAATGCTGCCAACGATTCCCTATTATCCACAGGCTCTCAGTCAGGAAATAATTGCATGTCTGGCCTTGTCTCTCTTCTAGACTCCCAAACCCTTTTCCTACACTGATAATGAGCTGATCAAGCTCAGTAAACATGTCAAGAAGTCTCAACCCTTGCCTACTTTGTTGCTTTCCCCTGGTGTAGCCAACACTCCCCATTGAAAACCCTGTCCTTCAGAGACTCCTCAGAGCCTTCAGGGAACAGCTTCCATCCACAGCATTCTGAATATATCTTTAGTCTAGCAATACTCCACTATCCACAAGGAACCCCTTAAGTGCCATAGTTTCCTTCCTTCCTCTCTCCCTCTCTCCCTCCCTCTCTCCCTCCCTCCCTCCCTCCCTCCATCCTTCCTTCTTTCCCTCCTTCCTTCCTTCCTTCCTTCCTTCCTTCCTTCCTTCCTTGAGTCAGGGTCTCATGTGGCCTAGGCTGACTTTGAACTCCTTATCTCCCACCTTTCCATCCCATGTAGCCTTGGTTGTCTTGGAACTTGCTATGTAGACAAGGTTGGCCTGCCTCAGCAGAGACTGCCTCTGCCTCCTGAATGCTGGGGTTAAAGATGTGCATCACCAAATATGTATGAGTGTTTGCCTACATGTTCATCTGTATACCACTTATATGTCCTGGTATCTGTGGAGGCCAGAAGAGGGCATTAGGTTCCCTGGAACTGGACTTAGAGACCTTGTGTGCTATCATGCGGTTGCTAGGAATTGAACCCAGGTCCTCTGGAAGAGCAGCCAGTGCTCTTAACTACTGAGCCATCTCTCATCTCTCTAGCCCTCATTACTTACTCAAAGTAAGTACTTCCTCAAAAAAATGTTGTACTAAACCTTCAGTGTGTGTCAGGCACTGTTTCTGTGGGTTTCTCCCACCAGCCTGGTCCGGCAGCCTCCTCAACACCAAATAAACACACAAACGCTATATTAGTTATAAAACTGTTGGCCAAATGGCTTCTTATTGGCTATTCCTGTCTTAATTATTAACCCATTTCTATTAATCTATGTATTTCCATGTGGTCTTGGTTTACCTGAGAACACCTGGTGCGTCCTATCCTCCTGGTCTACATGGCAACTCCGCTGGTGGACCCTTTCTGCCTACCTTTCCCCAGAATTCTCCTCATCCTAGTCCTGACTATCTTTCTGCCTCATTGGCCATGGTGTTTTATTCATTAGCCAATAAGAGAACCACACAGAAGAACAACCCCCATCAAGGCACTGTGTTTGCGTTGGGTACTTGGGATTTCTTTTTGTAGGTAGGATCTAAGTGCATATGAGCTGGCTTTTAACTCAAAATCTTGTACTTCAGCTGGCTGAACTCTAGGGTTATAGAGAGGTGCCACCATACAGGTGCTGGGGACTTTAAGAACATGGAATAGTTCTGGGTTTTACTTACAACCTCAGGAAAACAGAAATACCAAATACCGAGAGACTCTTGGAAAAGCCAGGAAAGAGCATAAGAACAGTTGGCTCATCAGCACAATCAGAGATAGCCTCTCAGAAGAGCTGTGTACCTTGGCCTTTGTGGCAGGAGTTGGTGAACAAATCTGAGGGAATTCTAACCATGGAGACTGTGTGCAAAGGCTACGATAACAGGAGCGGGGAGACTGGGCCCAGTTGAGAATTGTGCCTGTCATCTGGTCATCACTTGGATGATATGGAGTGGACAAACCTACTACAAAGGAACAAAGGCATGCGGGTTACAGATGGTGGACCAGAGAGAGAGCCTGGAGCAGGGAGATAGACAAAATGTTAATAAAAGATCTGGGGACAGTCCTCAGAGGCCGATGAAGACTCAGGTGTGTATCTCTGTAGGTCACTGTGCTATGGATCTGGGTATGAACTACCAGGGGACTGTGAGTGTCACCTACTCCGGTATCGAGTGCCAGTTATGGCGGAGCCGCTACCCACACAAGCCTGAGTGAGTGCTGGGCAGGCCTGTCTACCAGCAGGCCCGGAGGGGAAGCAAGGACACACTCGGGAGGCACAGTCCCTGCACACCCTTCTCTTCCAGCATCAACTCCACCACCCATCCCGGGGCCGACCTGCAGGAGAATTTCTGCCGCAATCCAGATAGCAGCACCAAAGGGCCCTGGTGCTACACCACAGACCCCACAGTGAGAAGAGAAGAATGCAGTGTTCCCGTTTGTGGTAAGCTGGGGCTTGGAAGCAGTCCGTGGTCAAGGCCCAGGGGTCTTCAGAAGGCCTGGCAATCTTGAATGGACATCATAATGCTGGCCACCTTCAGAGTGACTGAATGGCCAGGGCACGTGGGACACTTGGGCAGGCTGCCTGTCACCTCCTTCTTTTTTTTTTTTTTTTTTACTTATGTGCAAAGTTTATTGGGAGAAGGTAAGGGAATAAAAGGGAAGAGAAGAGAGAAAAAGAGATAGAAAGGGAGAAAAGAGACAGAGACAGAGACAGAGATTTGTCTGACTCCTTGGAGAGATGGCAGGAAGAGACAGCCTGTCTTTACTCCTTCCCTGTCTTGGTTCCCTCATGCTGTGGCTCATTTCAAACAACTTTTTGTATCCTGTCAAGGTTCTTTCCCCCAGGTAGTCCTCCTAGATCACTTCAGTCACATGCCTTTTCCAAACAGCACAGAGTAAGCATATAAGGCTCTGCCCTGGGTGAGTGTTGTGGTTAGTTCCCATGGTTACCCAGCCCTAGCCACAATAATGCTGCAGAACTAACACCCTTCCCTGAGGGGCATGCCATAACAAGGGTTTATTTCTTATACCACTGAGGCATGGCTGGGTGCGTGACTGGGCTGGGGAGAGTGTCCCATCCCGGTGTGCTAAGTGGCTGCCTAAGTGGCTGTGCTGTGAATGATGGATCCCTTGCTCCACTTGCACTCCTGCTGGGGCTGAGCAGGTCCTTGAGAAAGCTCCTCCCACCCACGATGATGGTGGCAGTGCAGAACAATGAACAGAAGTGCTGTCTGAAGGCCTATTCAGAGCTGGCAGCCAGCCCTGCCTTCCTGCCATTGGTAGGACTGACCTGCCGATGGGCCACCTGTCACATGTGCCACATGACCAGGCCAAAGTCAGGAAGTGAAGTACTGTCCGATGTAAAACCAGAGTAAAGAAGAGTGGTGAATTCATACCATGGGCGGCTGGAGATGTGGTTTGGTGGTAGAGAGTTCGGCTAGGATGCACAAGGTCCTAGCGTCAAACACCGCCCCCCCCCCACACACACACAAAGGGGCTGTCTTGGCAGTGCAGAGCAGACCTATATTCCCAATCAATGGAGATGCTGAGGCAGGAGGACAGAAGGATCAAAAGTTCAAGCCCTGGGTTGGAGACATGGCTCAGCAGTTAAGAGAATTTGCCTTTCTTGCGGAGGACCAGAACCCAGTTCCCAGCATTCATGTTGGGTGGCTTACAAGTACTTGTAACTCCAGCTCCAGGGGATCTAACACTCTCTTTTGGCCCCCTCAAGCACCTGCACATGTGAAACACCTCATGTCTCCCCCAACACACACACAGCAGGAGACGTGAATAAAAATGAAAAAGATAAATCTTTGTTTTAAAGTTTAAGGCCTGTTTAGACAACAGAGAGTTCAAGGCCAGCCTAGGCAACTTAGTGAGATCTGTCTCAAAGAGAAAAAAGAGGGATAAGTTATAACTGAATGGTAGAGAGCATTCCTTCCCTAGCTGCAGTTCAGTTCCCTGTTCTTTGTCAGCTATGTTCCACCCCAGAGAGGTCTTAAAGCAAATCACCAATGATTTTAAATGATCCTAACAAATCTCTACCCCTGTTTGTGGGAAATACATTGTAGGTGTGCTGAAATTGACCTGTCCACACGGACATCCTTAGTAGACCCTACAGTCTTTCTGCTATGTTCAGTTACAGCACAAAACCTCTGCTGGGTGTGGTGCACACCTTTAATCCCAGCCCTTGGGAAGCAGAGGCAGGCAGACCTCTGAGTTCGAGGCCAGCCTGGACTACAGAGAGTTCCAGGAGTGTTGGGATGGTCCACACCTGGTGCTGTGTATTTTACATTCTCCTCTCAACTGTAAGAGAAGATAGGCATATGTGGCCTGTTTGAAGGGAGCTTGCTGAGACTGGGGTTGTTTAAGCCTCCTGAAGTCACACAGATGGAATCCACCAGGACAGGGATTCAAATCTTTGTCGGGTCTGTGTGTGGTTCCCCCAACTTTGGCTTCTGTATCCTTCCACACCAGGCCAGGAGGGCCGTACCACTGTGGAGATGACTCCTCGCTCTGGAGGTTCCAAGGGGAATCTGTCGCCTCCACTGGAGCAGTGTATCCCTGAGCATGGCCGGCTGTACCAGGGGAACTTGGCTGTGACAACACTTGGGTCCCCCTGCCTAGCCTGGGCCAGCTTACCAGCCAAGGACCTGAGCAAGTACCAAGACTTCGACCCAGAGGTGAAACTTGTGGAAAACTTCTGCCGCAACCCAGATGGGGATGAGGAGGGCGTGTGGTGCTACGTTGCCGGGCAGCCTGGCGACTTTGAGTACTGCAGCCTCAACTACTGTGGTGAGCAGAGCTCAGGGGCAGAGGGCAAGTGGGTTCATTACGGCCTTACAGAAACCTGGCTAGGGGTAGGTCCTTGTCTCATTTCATAGCTGAGTTAACGGAGGTCCTGAGAGGTTGTTGCCTGGTGGTTGAGAAGTAACTATGCTCTTAATCTTGGAGTCAAATGCCCTCCAAAGTCAAATGCCTGCAGGGGCTTGGGAAGATCTAAGCTCCCAATCTTTTACAGAGGAGGCGGTGGAAGAGGAGATCCACGATGTGGAGGAGTCCATCGGAGGGCGCACCACGGACGGGGAGTTCCACACATTCTTTGATGAGAATACCTTTGGCTTTGGGGAGGCAGGTGAGGCACCCGCGTGTCCATGGGACGCAGGGTTGGAGGGCAGGATAGACCCCTCACCATCGGCCTTGCACTGCAGACTGCGGCCTTCGGCCTCTGTTCGAGAAGAAGTCGCGGAAAGACAAAACCGAAAAGGAACTGCTTGACTCTTACATAGATGGCCGCATCGTGGAGGGCTGGGATGCTGAGATGGGTATCGCTCCCTGGTGCGTCCTGTCCCACCCACAGCCGCTGCACTCACACAAGCCTTGGCTCCTCAAGTGACACTAGCACCCTCTACGTATCCCGAGAGAAATCCCAGCCGCCTGGCTTTATTTACCATGTCTCCTAAGCAGATAGATGGTGGAGCTGAGGCCCAGCGAGCTTAAGTAACTCACTCTCAGGCACACTATAATACAATCAGGACTTGTACCCAAATCTTCTGACTCCAGAACTATGCTAAACTATATGAAGTCTACACTTGAAGAGCTCTGGTCCCCCAGGACCGAGTCATTCTAACCTGGAGGCAGCGCTATTTCACTAGCTCACAAGCTTTCTTTTTTCTCTCTCTCTCTCTTTTTTGGGGGGTGGGGTGGGGGTGGCCACAAGGTCTCATGTGGCAGAGACTGACCTTGAACTTGTGATCCTTCTTGTTTCCACCTCCCGAGTGCTAGGATTACAGGCTTGTGTCACCATTCTAGCCCAGTAGCTCTTAATCTAGGCTCTTTTTCCACTTATAGGACTGCTGAAGGACCAGGTCCCAGCTCCTAACGCACTCTACTTCCCGTTAGGCAGGTGATGCTTTTCCGGAAGAGTCCCCAAGAGCTGCTGTGTGGGGCCAGTCTCATCAGTGACCGGTGGGTCCTTACTGCCGCCCACTGCCTTCTGTACCCACCCTGGGACAAGAACTTCACTGAGAATGACCTTCTGGTACGCATTGGCAAGCATTCTCGCACCAGGTATGAAGTTGGTGGCTGGCGGTGACAGGCTGGGACCTCAGGGCCCATTAGGTGAGATGTGGCTCCCACTGTATAACCTCTCAGCATCCCCACTGGGAAAGCCTATTTGGGCAATGTCCTGACCCACTCCAGACACCAGGACACGGTCCAGGTGGGAGTCGCTTTCAGTTGTGACTCTGAATAGTACATGTGGCTTGTGCCCATTTATGTCTGCTGGCTATATGACTCAAAAATTCTATGTGGATATTGGACTGGGAGGAAGCTGCCAGAGGGCTGTCAAGGAAGAGGTGGTGGCTCAGTGGTCATCCTACCTCCCAGAATCCCAGGGCAGACAGTGTGTGACCTTCCTCAGTGAGCTGAGTGTTCTCACTGGGGGGTCTACAGCTCTTGACTTTTCTGTTGGGATCTGCACAGGTATGAGCGGAACATTGAAAAGATCTCCATGCTGGAAAAGATATACATTCACCCCAGATACAACTGGCGGGAGAACCTGGACCGAGACATCGCCCTGCTCAAACTCAAAAAGCCTGTGCCTTTCAGCGACTATATTCATCCTGTGTGCCTGCCGGACAGGCAGACAGCAACCAGGTCAGCACCAAGGCCTCTGCTGTGATTTGGCCTGGGTTCTGGACCTTGGGGCCTGGCACACATTTGCAGGTTGCAGTTTCATGGTGTGAATGCAAAAGTCCTTTTCTGTGCTAGTTTTTTTTTTGTTGTTGTTGTTGTTGTTGGTTTTTTATTTATTTATTTTATTTTATTTTATTTTGGTTTTTGGTTTGTCGAGACAGGGTTTCTCTGTGGCTTTGGAGGCTGACCTGGAACTAGCTCTTGTAGACCAGGTGGCCCTGAAACTCACAGAGATCTTCCTGCCTCTGCCTCCCGAGTGCTGGGATTAAAGGCATGCGCCACCACCGCCCAGCTTTCTGCTAGGTTTTTATATGTTGGTCTCTGGGAAATAGAGTTGGTTATCAGAAGGCTTCTAGATGCTGTCAGGGACAATTCTCATTGGGTTCCTCTCTTTCCCTAAAGCTTGCTCCAGGCTGGGTACAAAGGGCGGGTGACAGGCTGGGGCAACCTTCGGGAGACATGGACAACCAGCATCAGCGAGATACAGCCCAGCGTCCTGCAGGTGGTGAACTTGCCCATTGTAGAAAGGTCGGTGTGCAAGGCCTCCACTCGGATACGCATCACTGACAACATGTTCTGTGCTGGTAAGCCTTTTGTCTTGGGTCAGGAACAGGGATTGGTAGACTTGGGATGTGGTATGGGCACATACCTTGGCTTGTACAAGTCAGAAGACTCTAGGCAAGTGGCTGAACCTTTTGATGGTAAAAGGAAGGTAAAAGTTTCCATGCACTGAGGTGTGAAGTTAGAGAGAGTGTGTTTGGCCTGAGGCCATTAATTCCTGCTCAATATATGTAGCTCAGTGGAGGTCCTAGGTAGGGAAAGGACTTTTATTCAGTTACTTATCACATACTTCTTGAATGCCTATTGGGTCCAAGATAACATTTGAGGGTACACAGCAGAGACCCAAATAGGTGGTCCTGAGGAAGCTTCCTTCCTAGGGGGATATGCCAATACATAAAATGTCTAGAGCACCAATTCTTGATAACAGCTCTGAAGAGGAGAGGAGCAGAGTAAAGGAGACTGCAAGGGACAACGTCAACCAAATAAAGTGTCAGAGAGGGTTGGTGAAGGCCTTTCTCAGGAAGGTGGAGGCTAAGCAGAGACTGGAAGAAGTGAATGAGGGTTGGACAGAGTGGGAGTATGATCCTGGTTTTGGGACAGACTCGGTCATGAGGTAGGCCAATGCTTGGTAGGTCTGAGCAGCAGCAGGGATTGAAGTGCTATAAACCTGGCAGTCCTGGGGAGGGAGGTAAGAGAAGGCCAGGTGGAGTGGTGTACATCTGTAACCTCAGCACTCAGGGAGTAGAGGCAGGTGGATTATAGTGAGCTTGAGGCTTACTTGGCTACAGTAGACCTTATTTAAAAAATAAGCAAACAACTGGGCATGGTGGTTCACACCTTTAATCTCAGCACTCTGGAGGCAAGGCAAGGAGGATCTCTGTGAGTTCAAGGCTAGCCTGGTCTACATAGCAAGCTAGCTATGGGACAGCCAGGGCTACATAGAGAGACCCTGTCTCAAACAAAACAAAATCCAAGCAAACAAATAAGAGCTTATTTGGTATTTTTATTGGAATTGTATTATACTCATAAAACATTGTTTTGATGTTGACTATAATTCCATTCAAAATAAGGACCAGAAATGTTTGTTTACTTTAGTGCTGTGATAATTGTTCCCATTTCCTCAGGTCTACTTTGGTATCTTTCTGGAATGCTGGGATGCAGTATATGATCTTCTTGTTCTGTGGCACCTTACTTTATATATTTGTGTTTCATCGCATACTCTTCTAGAGTTAGCAAGTAGTTTTCCAGTTGCACAAAAACAAAGGCTACCTAGGAATTTGACTAGTTAAATAATTAGATCTATTGCCTGGCCTGGCAGTGGTGGCACACACCTTTAATCTCAGCACTCAGGAGGCAGAGGCAGGTGGACGTCTGAGCTCAAGACCAGCCTGGTCTACAGAGCTAGTTCCAGGACAGCCAGGGCAACATAGAGAAACCCTGTCCACCCCCCAAACCCCCCCAAAAAGAAAAAATAAACCCATTATTTTTTTATTTTTTTGTCCTGTAACATTAATTCCTACTCTTTATCTATTATAAGGTTGTGTGTGTTGTGAGTGTGTATGTGTAAGAGAGAGAGGGATAGAATGAAATATGTATGAGTGTGGTTCACACATGTATGTGAATTTGTGTGGAGTACAGAGGTTAAAGTCAGGTGCCTTAGTCACTCTTCATATTTACATATTTATATTTATTTATTTATTTATTTTCCACTATGTAGTCTTGGCTGACCTGGCACTTACTATATAGTTCAGGTTGGCATCAAACTCAGAGATTTGCCTGTGCCTATATTAAAGCCATGCATGGCTCTGAGTTGTTTAGATTTTTTTTTTAAGATTATGTATATAGTGTTCTGCCTGCGTGTGTGCCTGCATGCCAGAACCAGATCTCATTATGATGGTTGGAAGCCACCATGACCTCTGGAAGAGCAGTCAGTGTTCTTAACCTCTGAGCCATTTTTCCAGCTCGGTTTAGTAGATATTTAACAAAACACAAACCCTTATTTTTTTCTGAGATAGGGTTTTACTATGTAGCTTGGGTTGGTGCACTATCCACAGTATCCCTGCCTCAGCAACACCTTACTCAGCTTACTTTTTCTTTTAAAAACTTTTATTACTGTGGTGATGCAGATTGAACCCAAGGCTTCAAGCTAGGCAATTGCTTCACCACTAAACTACATCCCAGCTGACAGTCTGAAGATTTTGGGCTTAAGGCTCCCTTTGTATTTGGTATGTTAATAATAGTTTTTGCATTGTGGTAAAGATTGTAATATTCCTACATTATGGAATTTGTTATTAACTCAGTATTTTGTATTATTGCATTTCCTTTGCTGTGTTATTTTCCCTGTGTGATCTTTTCTTTTAAAGGTTGTGTATTTAGGAGTTTTCATTTTGCTCTAGTGACTATCTTATCTTTGGGCTTACACTTTTTCAAGATGCTAACAATGCCTGCCTTCCTTCCCCACTATTGCCTGATGTTTTTTCTGTTTTTTTATTTTCTTGAAACAGGGTCTCTCATGTAACCCAGGCTAGTCTTGAATTCACTATGTAGTTAATGTCCTTGAACTTTTGTTACTCCTGTCTCACCCAACACTGCCCACCCAGAACTCGATTACAGGCATGTGCTGCGCCATCATGCCTGGTTTAGTTCATGTGGCTTCACCCACGCTGAGTGAATACTCTACCACATTGTATAGTGCAGGCTCATAATGAATTTGTAATGCTTCCACCTCAGCCTCCTGACAACAGGACGGTGCAACCATACTCAACCATTTTAACCTCATACTTTCCACTTTTCTCCATTTTTCCCATTTATTTTTGGTCCTTTGAGACAGTCTCATGTACCCCAGGCCAGCCGCCAACTCACCTTATAGTTGAGGTTAATTTTAAATAAATCCTCCTGCCTTTAACCCATTAATTGCTGATTTTACAAGCACACACCATGGCATCTGATTTCTTCATTTAATTTTAAGTTTCAGGTTTGTGAGTTCAAGATACCGCCCCCCATTATGCATGGATTTGCTTGAGGATTTTGTTTTTTTGAAATAGGGTTTCTCTGTGTGTTCACTGTCCTCTAGGCTGTCCTGTGTACTATCTATGTACTCCAGGCTGGCCCGGAACTCCATTTTTGGATGAGGCTGGCAAGAGATCTGCTGGTTTCTGCCTTCTTTTAGGATTAGAGTGACTCTTGATATTTCATTCAAATGGTTTTGTAGTTAATCATCTTACTAGCTAAGGTCTTTTGTTTTCCTAAAGCATCTTTCTATGGATCTGGTAAGTTTCCATGTGTTTGTGCTGAGATTCCTAATTTGATTCTATTGAAAGATGTTTCCAGCAGGGAGTTAGAGGCGCTAGCCTTTAATCCCAGCACTCGGGAGGCAGAGGCGGGAGGATCTCTGTGAGTTAGAGTTCACTCTGGTCTACAGAGCAGAGTGCCAGGGTAGACTCCAAAACAATACAGAGAAACCTTGTCTCAAAAACAAAACAAAAAAGATATGTTCCCATCCTCATCCTACATGTATTTTAGATTATACAATTCAGCATATATACTAAATTGAATACACTAAATTGAGGTTTGGGTGTTTCTGTAGTCTATTTATTTCAAGGTGTGGTTTGGGGGTACAGGAGAGGGCTATCTATGACTTGGCCAGAGTGGAAATGGCTGGTGTTGGGACAACCTTGGTAGTTAAGAGCCAAATAATGTACTCAAGGATTAGATACCTAGCACGAGGAAATGAGGTCAGGATAACCATCTTGGGGTCAAGTGGGTGTTCTTGGGCTATAGTAACTTAAGTGATTCCTGAACCCTGCTGTTCTTCCTCAAGGTTTCAAGGTAAATGACACCAAGAGAGGAGATGCTTGTGAAGGTGACAGTGGGGGACCTTTTGTCATGAAAGTAAGCTTCTCTAAAGGCCAGGGGCTGGTGGGTAATATCCTGGTGGTAGGGAAGGTTGGGGGGGGGGGGAACTTGTTTGCAGCAACAGCCTGGACCTGACTTTTGGAATCCCCACCATTCTTCCTCAGAGCCCCTATAACAACCGCTGGTATCAAATGGGCATTGTCTCATGGGGTGAAGGCTGTGACCGAAATGGGAAGTATGGTTTCTACACACATGTGTTCCGCCTGAAAAAGTGGATACAGAAAGTCATTGATCGATTTGGATAGATGTGGGGGTAACAGGACACCCACAATATGGGACCCTCATTGCAAAATCACAGAAACCAGTCAAAAGTGTTTTTGTGGTTTGTTTTTGTTCTCAATAAAAGTGACAGTTAAATCTCAGTGTGCCCAGTGCTGTTGATAGGCAACTCTCTGTACTGGGCTATGAAGAGGAAGTAATGCTTGCTGGACAGACAGAATTGCAAATATTATACTCACATATATGATTTATTAGAGTGTTTTACAGGCTGTGATCTGGTTAGTCCAACAAACGGTATCTCTGGGCAGAAAGGACAAGAATCCAGCATTTGTTTAGACTCCGGGGTGGATATCTGAGCTGGTCTTCATTCTACATTGGAATCACTAGGAGGTTCTGATGCCAGGGAAGGAATGCCTCAGACGCAGGATCAATCAACGAACTTGCCAGAGAAAAGTGAGGGCAAGCAGGCAAAAAGCAAAAGCTTCCTTCTTCCAGATCCTTTTATGCAGGCTGGACCAGAAAGTATGGCTCAGATTTAGGGTAGACTTATTCATGATCATTGGATCAAATGATCCAATCAGTAAAAATTCTCTTCAAGGACATCCAGGGCTACACAAAGAAACCCTGTCTTGAAAAACTCCCACAAAATAGAAAAAAAAAAAATTCTCACAGGCATGCTTATCTGCTTATATTTTAGTTGATTCCAGATGACAACCAAGATTTTAGTCATCACATCCTACATCCTTCATCATGTCATCAAAATAGTAGACATATGCTCCCAAGAGGCTCAATGGTTAAAGCACCTTTGAGGTTATAGTTCGATGGTGGATGGGCACATAGGCTTCTCACATGACCCCAGTTGATGTTGTCTTCAATCTTCATGTGTGTGATCTGACTCTTCTGGAATTCACTATATAGACCACACTGGCCTTGAATTCACAGAGATCTGACTACCTTTACTTTTCCAGGGCTGGATTACAGGCTTGGGCTACTAAGCACAGATTCTGTCTTCAGTGTTTGTTTTTTGAGACAGGGTTTCTCTGTGTGAAGCATTGGCTGTCCTGGAACTAACTCTGTAAACCAGGCTGGCCTCAAACTTACAAAGTTCTGCTTGCCTCTGCCTCCCAAGTGCTAAGATTGAAGGCGTATACCACCACGGCCTGGCCCTGTCTCAAGTCTTAAAAGGGCTAATTTTATGATCAGATAATTTGACCTGCCCAAGCTTGTTTATATTTTAAGATACATACAACGGCACAAATGTATAGCAATTGTTTTTGTTGTGTACTGAATACAATGCTTGCTACCTTACAAATGGACCTGGCATATTTAAAGTTCCTTTTCTGGTCACCTCCTCCATCCTTTGGCCCCCACAAAACACATAAAGATGTGTGTGTTGGGAGGAAGGAGATTTTCCCAGGTTTCTCTTTACCAGATTCAGAGCAATTTGTAGTAAAGAGGGGTAAAAGATATTTAAGCAAATATGTGAACTTTGGACAAATTTAAGTCTTCAAAGTTACTCTTAACGGGGCACTGGCATGAGATGAAACAAGTTCCTATCTATACAGCATTAAAGCACTATTCCCATTTGGGACATTTATAGGTAAGTGGGCACCACAGACTCTAACATGTGATAGTAAATTTTGGCTGATGTGAAATTTGATAACACTGTAGAACTGTGGAGAAGATGCATGCATCCCTGAGCTGCAAGGCAAGGGTGAAGACTGAAGGTCTACTTTAGGTGTGAGATGGGAGTAGGGTAAGGGGTCATGCGCATTGACCACTGATAACTTTGGTCAGCCAATATACATGGTTTAAAGTGGGAGGGCCAGGGACGGTGACAGAGGCAGATGGATCCCTGTGAGTTTGAGGCCACCCTGGTCTATATAATACCACCTTTCAGTTAGCCAGGGCTAGATGGTGAGACCCTATGTTGACAAATAAACAACAACAAAAACCAAAGGTGGAAAGACCTCTATCTTTATCGAAATTCCCAGCCCTTCTCCCTTCTCCCTTTGCTGAGTCTCCTGTGAGTTTAGGCTAGTCTCCAACTTGAGATCCTCCTGTGTCAGCCTGTCAAATGTTAGTATTAGGACTATAGGCATTTGCTACTACCATATTTGTTTTTCATATTTGATGGATAGGGAACAGAGAATTTCTTGCTTATTCTGTGGTTCTGGTTGATTGGAAAGCTGGACCAAAATGGGTACAAGTTTTCAGTGACATTACAATACCTCAGCTACTCTGGACTTTAGGGGGAAGCCTAAGAATGCATTGTATTTTGGCCTTGTGGTCCATATCTTTAATACCAGCACTGGAGACACAGAAGCAGGTGGATCTCTATAGTTTCAGGGCAACCTGTCTACATAGTGAATTCAAGGGCAGCAAGGACTACATAGTAAGACCTTGGTTCAAAACAAATCAGGAATGCACTGTAATGCTCAGAGCACTCTCAACATCACTGTTGGGGTTATAAACTTTGAACACTTAGTTTTCAGATGAATGGTGCCATTCTAGACCTCACTTTCCAAATATGACATCCTATAGCAGAAGACTCCACCTTCCCTGCAGGGAACACTTACCACTCCATGCTCCGCCTAGAAAGAACCAAGTTTAATTTCAGGCAGCCTTGGGCTCACTGGAAGATAGTGACTGGAACCAATAGAGGGTTCACTTGATGGAAAATCAAGATTTATTTTCCTTCCATCTTTCATTGTGTGGAATGCCAGTTGAGTAGAAAGTTCTTTTGAGCTGTCTTGGAGCTTGCCTGGCATCTATCCTAGAACCCAGAAAGTGAGTCCTGAAGCAGTTTTCTAACTATGGAGGAAGATCCTGTGGGATTTATTCTGGAAGTGAATCTTCAGCTCACATTTTGTCCTCACTCAACACCAAATATGACGCAATTAGTCTGGGTTGAAAAAAGCTCAGCTATTCAGGCAGGAAAACAGCAAGCTGTCCAGATCCACCAGTGAACCCAATCCCCTTGGTGTGGGAACTGCTGGCTCAAGTCAAAGCTTGAAAACAATCTCACGTCATTTGTGCAGCAAAGTAGTAGGACACTAATGTTCCTCCAACATTGGAGGTCATGAACCAAGACCTCAAAACAAGGAGGGCTTTCTCTGCTCCTTGAGTCTGCAAGTGTCTCCTGTTAAAATGGAGCTGCAGCCCCAATCCCACCAGTTAAGAAAAAGTAGACCTCAACAAGCCCTCCTGTACCTGGGCTCAGCACCCAGCTTTCCTTATATAGGTGACAAAAACAGGTGCCCAGCACTCCCAGACATGGAGCATCTTGGGAAATGGGTATAGTTAATGCGAACTTTATTTATAAAAGACTCTTAAATTAGTTGTCTCATGCCATGCATTCATACAGAATACAGTGTCCCTCCAGGGCTACAGAAGAAGAGCTCACAACTCAGAAGGAACTATTAGAAGAGTTTCTAATGGCTGAAAGCTAGGAAAAATTAGGACAATTTTACAAATGAGCCATCAAAACAAAACAAAAAAGATATGGAACCTAGTCTGAGCTGAGGGTGCAGCTGTTTAGAAGTCTGTACACTAACCTAAGCCACAGTCAGTCTTTTAGAGGCAGCACTGATGGGGAGAAGCAGAGCATGTGCGACTTGTGCCACCAATGCTCCTCCCCATCTGCTGTCCGATACATAAAACCAGTTTGTGTACTGAGGCCTGCAGTGGCCATTTCACACTATAGGACTTCTAGATTAGTAAACTAAAGCTGCAGAGTGCTGAGGGATGGGCAGCTTCATTTGCGACTGCTCTTTATTCTCTCCAGTCTCTTTTTCAAGTCATCAATGTTAGTTGTAGAGGAGGATGAGGTCATGGTTCCTGCAGAGTGGGTCTGATTGGAATCCAGGTCTGAGTGCTGGTGCTGCTCCCGGGACTCCCGCAGCTGTGAGAGCTTGCTGTGAAGCATGTCTGTGGAAGAGGCAACTGGAGGAATTGCTGGTTTGGAGAGTAAAGAGGTCAGTGGAGGTCGGTCATCTTGCTATTGAGAGAAGACAGAGAGACACTGCTTTAGGGAAAGCAATCAAGATGCAACTCTGCCTCAGTGTATACCAAGGTTGAGCTACTTTGTGGGCCAGCCTGTCCCTGACCTGCTTGTCACTGCTTTCTATACCCACACAGAAAGAAAGGAAAAGTACCTTTGTGTTGTCAAGACCACACCGTTGTCGGAGAATTTTTAGCCTTTCCAGGTAGACAGATGGCCCCACTTCTTCTCCATTTGTGTTACCTATAGAGGACACTGTGCTTGTGGGGGTGGGCACACATGTGACCTCCATCTGAGGGGAGACACCTAGAGAGAAAAATGAAGGAAGCACATGTAGACATCTGCATACCCCAACTTCCAGACTGCAATGGCCAATCTGCTACAACAAAGGCAACCAATTATTTCTAGGGCTCAGTGGCATAAGTTATGTTTAGTACACTATATAAATCCTCACAACAATAACAAAGGATCTACCTGGATTTAGTCATACAGGCTGGTCTCAAATATACAACCTAAACCTTGTTAGAACTTCAAAAATAAATACAAAAGGGCTTTCTGTCTAGACCTTGGATATGTGAAGGACTATATACCAAAAATCACAGGGCTGACATGGGCAGTTTGAAATCTCTAAGTATATAATGAGTGCCCAACTGAAAAATGAAGATATGTAGAAGAATCAGTTATGTTTGGACTGGATGACACAATAAAGGTTTTTTTCAAATCTATAGAGAACAACAAGGAGCTCAAGGGATATTCTTTGAGAAGAACAAGAATTCATCTCAATTCCTAGAATTCTAACAGGGGTCAGTCATAAAATACAACATTTAAAAGATCTAACTCACATGGCTGGGGAGATGGCTCAGTGGGTAAAGTGCTAGTCATGTAAGCGTGAAAACTGGAGTTTGAATCACCAGAACTCAAAATAAATGCTGGGTGGCCATAGTGCCCACCTGAACTCTCAGCAGAGGCAGAGATGGGAGATTCCTGAAGGAGGCTGGCTAGATAGAATAGCTGAATTGGTGA